CGTCGTGCGGGTCGCAGCCTTAGCGTTTGGCTTCGCGCTCGGGGGAGAGACTCTGCCGAGCTGCCCCCGCTGCCTGCCGGCCTTTCCCACCGCCGGACCGGGAGGGCCGGGTCCAGCGTTCGTCCCCACCTTCCCTCGAACCTTCTGCCTGGGGGAGGCAGCTCCCCGCCTTTTAAGTCTGCCAGCGCGCAGTCTGCGCCTTGAATCGCCCCGCTTTCCTTTGCAGTGAAATGCAAGGAGAGGCCAGCACACCCCAAAATAGAATCAGGACAGTTTTTTCTGATCAATACAGGAATCTGAAGTATCTTGTTCAATAACTACCATAAAAAGAGCACTTACACCGCGATACCCCAAAATTACCATTAGAATGCTCAATCATTAGTCCGGTGAAGCGGGAGCTTCCAGTGTGGGTTCCCTACATTAGCTGTATGCCTGCTGCATCTGCTAGAACGTGTTACGTGTGTGTCGGTAAACCAGTAGTTACGACAAACATCCTGAGGACATAAGAATACAAAGGACTTAGGAAATCGGCGCTATGGGAATGACTATTGCGAGAAACTGTGGCATATGGCCTTTCTCACAGGTTGGCCAAGCTCAGAAGGCTTTTATTTTGGTGTGACAGTTCATTTTGGGTGACTTCCAGAGCTCGCTTTCTGTGGTCACTAATGATCTTTTAGTTTCAGTCTAAATGTATTCATAGCCAGTTAAAAACCGTTCTTGTGCCTGCATTATCCTTTATATAACACTCCTCCCTCATAGTTCTGCCTCATAATGTATTTGGAGTGAGAGCTTTTGTTTTCTCATCCTTCATTTTGTTAAGTATTAAATTAAACAAGCTAAATTCTTAAGGTTTGTAATACTGATTTTCAGTTTCCTTGCTCATCACAGCTCTTCTCTGCATCTGTTCCAGTTTCAGTTCACCTTTCTTGAACACTTTTTACCAAAATCTTATGATCTTAATTTCTTTTACTTTAAAAAAAAAATCTTTTGAAAGCTCCTTAAAAAAAAACCTACAGGAAGCTAGTAGTCATTGGGCAAAAACTGTGATGTAAATGGGAGTTCATAGTAGCTGGTCATAATGTTAGATACATGAGCATTTTTGACATAGCATTCTTATATGTCAATATATTGTGAATATTCTTTAATAAAACCAGTGATTGCAAATGCATATATGTTGGTAAAACTAACAAGCAAGAGCACACTGCATGGAGCTGTTTCTTTCTGGTGACGTGCTTTTAATGGCAGTTCAATGGATGTTTGTCTGTAGCACATCGTTAATTCCAGCTTTCAGCATATAGGACTTCATCTTGGAGAGTGTTGCTTTCTTTTCCAGTGAAGGTTAAAGCAATAGATGGGAGATTAAGTTATTCACCACCTCTCAGAATTGAACTATTCTTTTCCTGCTTGTCGTTTTCATTTTTAAATTGTGATGTAGGATCTGCATAATTTTAAAACCTCTCATACGATTGACTTTCACCTCATTCTTAGAAATAATCTTAGCTTGTTTTGAAAGTCTGTAACTCATATTTGAAAGGAGCGTGCATTGAAATGGTGATGCAACTCCTTACTGCCTAAAGATGCTTTCAGGTGGTCAGTGTTTTTTTTCAGGAAGAAATAGGTTATTCTATCTATCCTCATCATGAATGATAAATTATGAAAATTCACTTCTTAGGGTAATTGGGGTTGTGTCGCATAATGAAGACAATGTGGGAAAATCTGTGTGTGCTGAGCAGTTTTAGTTTTACCATAGATTGCATATTACTGTGCTGGCATATGTATCAAGCATCTGTAAATTCTATAGATACTTAGTTACGTGTTTAGTGTAAACAAATTGACCGAGTTTTCTTCCCAAATTTGGATGCTTAACTATAAATAGCCTGACTTTTAAATATGTCAAACTCTGCAGCTCCTGTTGACCTAAATGGGATCTGTGCATATTCAGCACTCTTGAAGATCACGCTGCTTATTACAGACCTAACTTTAAATGCCTGTATGTACAAATCTAAGTGGATAATAAGGCATTTGAATTACTGGGTGGTGATATTTTGACCATCTGTGTGTGGGTTTTTTGGTTTAATATCTACAAGATAACCGTACTTTTGCATTTCAGAAAAAGTAATAGTTGCAATAAATTGGGCTATGAGAGGGTTGTATTTCAAGGTAATTTTATGATCCAACAAGTGTTGAAATAGGATGGCAGCCCTTTTACAAATTCAGCTTCGTTGTTGATACATATATTGACTTTGTGAAACAGTTTAATTAGTTGAATAAACAATTTAGAATTTAATAACACTTACCATCCCTGTGTTTCTATAAGCTATTGCAGATCACAAGCCTCTGGTAAAGTAATAAGTGGAGAGGAACATTTTTCAAGCAAAAAGTGCCTGGCTTGGTTTTATGAATATGCAGGTAATATGCAATGGATTCATTTTTTAAACTCTATGGGTTTGTTTAAAACAAGTACATCAGATATTGTTTGCAGTTTGCTTTTTTAAGTGTTGATGTAGACATAAAAATATGTCCATATATTCACTTCCTTATAGCATGCACTTCAATTAGCATAGCTTTTACTGTCACCTTTTCAGTATTTGTTCCTTCTGACTTTTTCTTCTTACACTTCATAACTTACCATGGTGTTCTTTAAATAACTGATGTTGGATAGTACAGTGTTGAACTGGGGTCTACTCAGTGATTCCATTTCTTGGTTTGAAATGGACAAGTAGAAGTCAGGACACAGAGAGAGAGCTTTTAGATAGAAGTTCATTTATCTAACTAGATCCTGTTCATAATCAGATTAAAAGGATAATGAAATAGTTCACGATTTCAGCCTCTTGGGTTTCTGTTTCACAAAATAAAATTGAAGATGCTCATAGTCTTTTTCTGATCTGAGAATCTGCCCTAATGTTTTTGATATTCTCAAGAACAAACATTTAATTCAAAAGTGTTAACATAGCCTTTTTCAAATAAATCAGAATTGCTATCTAAGTAATAGCTGCTTTCAGGAAACAGGCAGTGTATTTTGCAGAATTCATTGGTCTGTTGCTGCCGTTTATTTATCCATTAGACAGTTAGAAGTTCAGAATCTGTAAACTGTTATTCATTTATTTTTTTGGTCTAGTCACTACTTGAAGTCCGTCATAACGAGTTGGTGATTAAAACTCATTAATGGCCAGTTCTCAGTATGAAATGAGCTGATTATTCATCTGACAGCAATTAGTTTCAGTATATTTATCAGAAGTCATATTTTCCTTGCAGCCTTTCCGCAGCGATTAACTACTCCTGATTCTAGTAATCTGCTTTCTAATTTGGAGTAAAGGGTCTTTGCTGAGAAACATAATAATTTTCTGTTCATTTTCTTCTGATAAATGCACCTGCACATACTTTTTTTCTTAAGGCCTGTAGATTTTGGGTTTGCTTTAGAGTCAAGAACTGATTGTAGGAGGTTATGCTTTGTTAGTTAACCAGTAATCAAAATCTGCCACGTTTCTAGAACAAAATAGAATTCCAGTGAAATTATATGACATAGGAGATTAAAAGTTTCCATTAAAAGAGAAAATTATACACAGGCATATACGTATGTATGAGTTGTACATATGATATCTGGGCCAAAACCACCGATTCAAGTTTATACTTGTCATTACCAGTGAACCCTTGTATGTGTTTCTCTTCATAACTTAAACTTGCAGGTTTTTTAACACATTCTATGTAAGGGCTTCTCAAAACCAGATGGCAGTGTTTTGCCTTGCTTACCTAGGCGAGATGTTCTTTGCAACATTTTTCAAGAGGTAGGTGTTAATGATCTTAAATGCCAGTTGCTTTTTTTTTTTCCTGTAAAAGTAGCCATTCTCAATAGTTTCTATTGACTATCTTCTTATCTCACAGTGAGTAATTATTCTAAGTACATTATCCAAACTCTTAAAAATAATTCTGTTTGCAATAAGAGCAGTGGATATAGATGGAAGTGGAGACAGGTATCATCAGGGGATGGGGGGTGGGTGGGAAGGACTGTTGTGCCTATGTATAAATAGCAAAATTTGCCAATAAATCATAAACTGGCATGTAGTTTTGGAAGATAAAGCCTTTATCTTGTACATGCCTTCATATTCACTAAAACACTGTTAATGTGATCCAAGACACATCAAAATAACAGGTAAACAGGCTTCTAATAATATTTGGTTGCTCAGTTGGAGTCATTTTTGGAACAGGCTTAGCAGAAATAACTGAAACCAAAGAGAATCAGAGAAACAAAGCATTGTAGAGTGTGCCTGTATTTGCTCTTTAAAAAAGCTATTTTGCTGCTTTTTAGAGGCTTTCTTTGTGTTAAAATGGAAAAGTCACAGTGTAACAGTAACTGTTTGTCCTAATCAAGTTATTTTCACTGCAGTCATGAACCTTTTTCTGCTTTGCACGTGGCTAACATGCTTAGCATTTTTCTGATTTATTGTTGCCACTCTCCTCATGTTACTCAGCATCATAAAACTAACCTTACATTATTTGAAGATTCTTCCTCTTCTGTGTTAGTGCAAACCCTTACTGTTAACACCATTGAAAGTGTAGTATCTTTAATAGTAGCTCAGGTGGAATTAATTTTTTTTATTGCTGATATAATAACTCTTTGAAGAACATTATTGATAGAGGAACTTCAGCTCAGAGTAGTGGTACCCAAGTTGTCTTAAAAAACAATTGACCGTCACGGATATTGGAGTTGAGCTATGTCAGTGGGAAACTCACTGGTGTCTTGAAAACTTGCACACACACTGAAATAGCTTCTCTACTGTTGTGGGGCGGCAGCACATGAAGTCAGAGTTCTGGTTTGGTTTTGGTTTTTGTTCATAGTGTTATTTCATCTGCAATATATGTGTCTCCACATTATAGTTGATGGAATAGTTCTAGCATAAAAAGTACTTAATGGTGTAATTCAGTGTTTGTAAAGATAGCTTGTATGCAATATAGTTTAATTATTGTTGTGTGTAACCCCTGTGAGCAGTGCATGTCACCTTATATTTCAGTGTGGTTTCTTTTTGGTTTTGAAGGTCCTGATGAAGTCGTGGGGCCCGAAGGAATGGAGAAGTTCTGTGAAGACATTGGTGTTGCACCTGAAAATGTAGGTTTGTTGCATGATACTAATAACTCTTTAAAAGGCAGTATTGGGTAAGATTAAGTTCTGTGTAAAAATCGCAACTTCGGTAAGCAGAGAGTTGTTTATCTTCCTGCTTTTAAGAGCTGTTCTAAGCTATTTCAGCTGAATACCATCAGTTATGTGTGGCTGGTGTGTGAGGTTTTGTTGTTTGTTTTATTATAGCAATACTTCATTTTGAAATTAAGGGAAGGTTTTCACATAGCTGAATTAGTAAATGGTAACAGATATAAAGTACAGCCATGTACAACAATTGCTAGAATGTTTGAATGCTTAGAGTTTTCTTCTTGGACATCTAGGAATCAGCCTTTTCTTACATACTGACTCCTTTCTCTCCCCTTGTTTTGTTTTTTTTTTTCCCCTTAGATTATTATGTTAGTTTTAGCCTGGAAACTAGAGGCTGAAAGCATGGGATTTTTTACCAAGGAAGAATGGTTAAAAGGAATGACCTCATTACAGTAAGAATGTTTTTACATATATAATAGAATGTTCTAATTTTGTTTGTTCCAGTACCTTTGTCTTTCTTGCCCTTGGTTTCTTGTGTATTGGCAATAAGACAAAAACTCTTGCTTTCAGGTCTGGTCTCGGTCAACAACTGGAAGTACCTGCTGTTGTTCATAAAGCTGTGAATCTGATGAGTTTGCCCAAACGATAAAGTTTATCTAACCTTACTAAGTCAGATTGTGGTGGCTTCTCTTTCTTACAGAAATACGTTAAAATACCATTCTAGTTAGCAGGCACAAGTAAGTGGATGTGGAAATAACCATAAGCATATCTGAGCACATGTATTCAAGAAAGTTTTTACTGATTTCTAAACTTTATAGGTGAGGACTGCACTGATAATATTTTTTGGTATTAGTGTTATTCAATGCAGGTTAGAAGCCATGCTTAAATACTTAGCTTAAGAGCCGGTAGTGATAGGACAAGGGGTAATGGGTACAAATTGAAATCAGGGAGGTTTAGATTAGATGTCAGGAAGAAATTCTTCACAGAGAGGGTGGTGAGGCACTGGAACAGGTTGTCCAGAGATGTTGTGGATGCCCCATCCCTGGATGTCTTCAAGGCCAGGCTGGATGTGGCTCTGAGCAACCTGGTCTAGTGCAAGGTGTCCCTTCCAACCCTAACCATTCTATGATTAATTAACACTTTTTCAATTTATGAATAAACCTCTCACTCCTTCTGTTTGTAAGAATTTTTGGTAAGGTAAAGCTCTGCCTAAAGAGGTTGTTTCTTTCATGAAACTAATCAGCTTTTTTGTGAGGCTTAGTTCAGTTGTGACTTTTTTTGTTCTTCGTGTTATGGTACATCAATGTTTTAACTGTGTTCGTGACACTTCATTCAGTATTAAAAATGTCAGGGAGCTACTGTTTGCAGCTGCAGCAGGATGGGAACAGGGGCTGATTTGACCTTTGGAGTTGGCATAATTACCCTATCAGTTGTGAATGGTTTGGGAAATTGTATTGGTCAGAGACCTTCTGGTTATTTGAGACTATGGAGTAAGTAACTCTGGCCTGACTCTTGTGCATGTCCTTTTTCATTTGGGATCAGGCTTCTGATAGATGCCTTGATTGTTTTGTGGCTTTAAGAAGCTCTTAAATTTAGTAAGATCTGGAGTAATTAAATTGCCTGAAATTCAGGCTAACAAAGGTTAAATTCCAGGTGCATAAATTTTTAGATGCAGTGAATGGGTATAATTTGGTCACTTCTCTGAAGTACTTAATTTTTATGCCCAGATGGAAGCTCTCCAGAGTTCGCCAGTCTAGCAGAATGCAAGCACAAAGATGTATGAAATCAGGTACCTCTTCAGAGCCAGCGTTATAGACTTTGTTTCTAATAATCTGCTGTGATTAGGAATCTTCTGGATCTTTCAAGAAGAGAGCTGGCCATGCTGTAGGCTAAACATGTTCAAGACAGAAAATATGGTACTGCTGTAGGTTTTACCTAAACAGACTTATGATGGGAGCACTTGCCTAAGCCTAAACCGGTTAACCTATATGTTTTGCTTCCCCTGGGTGTACTCTAATAGCAGGCTGTAGGCTAAGCAGCTGGATGAAGCAGTGACACTCACATAAAGGAATTCAAGATTTGTTGGCTTGAGAAGAGAATATACATCTGTAGACTTGTGCTGTTTGTGCATACTGGGAAGGGAGGATCGTATTGTGGGATTCCATCTGAAATGGGGGAAATGTAGTTTCTCTTGAAAGGTTTGACAGAAGTTTTGAAGGAGAAGGATTTTATGGTCTTAAAGCAATAGAATATTACTACATTCTTGGACAGCAGTTTTTAAATATTTGCATGAGGAAATGGCATTAAAAGCCCAGAGTGCATTCTAAGTTAGAGTTACATTACAGAACCCTTATTTCAAAATATGTGAAATGTCATGTAATTGCATAAATAGGGTTGAGTGGAATTCAGCTGCATAGTAAGACACCTAAATGTGTCATTTATATGCAAGAGCTGGATTTCTTAAACTCTTACTGCAATCTTTGGAGATCTAGTCGATGTAGTGGAGCCTGCGGATGTATTCAGTTTGCCCTAAGACCTAGTGACTGGTCACCTGGATTGCTCTTGCGGCGTTGGTTGGCTAGACCTCTGTGAATGGCAACTCCTAAAACTTGGGCACCTAAATCGAATCTGCGGTTAGGTGCCAACACATGGGTGCCTGAATCTCAAAGGGATGTTCTTTGTGTGTGTCGTTTTGTGAAATCGTAGAATCCTTTGGGTTGGAAGAGACCTTAAAGATCATCTAGTTCCAACCCTCCTGCCATGCCCCTCTTCCCTCATATGCTGATGAAGTTTGTCCTTTAGAGAGGAGGAAAAAATAAATATGTGATAAGGTGTACCCTGTCAAAATTAAGGTGGGTCAAGCACTACGTAGTAGCTATGAAACCTAAACAAATTAAGGTGCAAAAATGATATTTCCAGTATATCATGTTGGTAGTGGGAGTTCTGCCCTGTATATGTGTGCGTGTATATATATATATATGAAGGCTGGGTGCCTGAGTCTGAATTAATCACCTGAAGCTCTTTTCATAGTCAGCAGAAAGAAACATGTACCTCTGCTGAACAATTTATTTCAGCTATTCTAAACACATCCTTAGGATGAAATGAATAGCCCTCAGGAAATGACCGTTTATCTACATTTGCTTTAAAGCCACTGGAGAGCGAATAACAGAGTTGAGAATTTAACTTGACATATCTGAGTTAAGGGAGAAGCACACTGATGCATTTGTCAATTGTAGATTTTACAGACCTACAAAAAAAAATCTAGTTACAAAATGAAGGTGAAGAAAAAAGGATTACAGTTAATGATCTTGTTAAACTATACAGAAGTCATTGTTTGAACCAGGTAAATAGAAAGACGTTTGTGTGGAAGAAGTGAGGTGTAAGCAGCTACATTGTCTGAGTACTTCCCTCTGGCTTTTTTTTTAACCTTAGAATGCGAGCCAATTTTTACATTAAAGTTGAGTTTTTGAAAATGAGTGGCCAGGTAAAGGGGAGAGAAACAAATTAGATTCCAGCTGAGGGAAAGATAATGTCACAATCTCACATTTTAGGTACAAGAGAAGCCACATGAGAAAGAGAGAAGCAGGGAAGTCAGGTGTTTAACTTCTTGCTGTTTGCAGAATTACTAGTAAAAACAACTTATTTGGGTTGGTTTTAATGATAGCCTAGTATCAGCTACTTTTCCAGTGAGCTTTATGCTTGTTATTGCCTTTCTTTCTGTTAATGTCTGTGAGGCTAACACAACGCACAGTGTAATTAATTTTTTTGTGCCAGTATAACATTCAGTGTGTACTGGAATCTAAGCAATTTCTGGTCTCCATATCTGTAAATCAGTTGGCCTATTGAAACTATAGCATTGTCAGGGCATGGAAAAGATGTCCCTCTGGTCTCAAGCCATTACTTCCTTGGACCTGTGTATGCTCCAGTTATAACCAGTATGGAACCTAAATTTCGGAAGATCCTGTTTCAATGCTTAAAGAGAGTGAGTGGATGGGCTAGATGGATTGCATTTCCTTCTGTCTCTCTGGAGGTATTGATGATGGCAGGGGAACTCTTGTAGACTAAAGACTGTCAAACTACTTTAAACCAAAAGTATTTAATGGTAGTATATAATGTTTGTATGCACCTTACTATATTTTTCTTTTTAGTAGAAGTTAAGCATGTGTGAGTAATTAGGAAATAAGAAATGTTGGAATACCTGAGTAGGAGTTTGTGAATCATAGAATGGTTTGGGTTGGGCGTTCCAACCCCCCCGCCATGGTCAGGGACACCTTCCACTAGACCAGGTTGCTCAAAGCCTCATCCAGCCTGGCCTTGAACACTTCCAGGGATGGGGCATCCACAGCTTCTCTGGGCAACCTCTTCCAGTGCCTCACCACCCTCTCAGGAAGAACTCCTTCCTGATATCTAATCTAAACCTCCCTACTTTCAATTTAAACCCATTACCCCTTGTCCTATCACTACAGGCCCTTGTAAACAGTCCCCCCCCAGCTTCCTTGTAGCCCTTTCAGGTACTGGAAGGTGCTATAAGGTCTCCCCGGAGCCTTCTCTTCTCCAGGCTGAACAAGCCCAACTCTCTCAGCCTGTCCCCATAGCAGAGGTGCTCCAGCCCTCTGAGCATCTTCGTGGCCTCCTCTGGACTCGCTCCAACTGGTCTGTATCCTTCTTATGCTGGGGGCCCCAGAGCTGGACGCAGCACTCCAGGTGGGGTCTCACAAGAGCAGAGTACAGGGGCAGAATCCCCTCCCTCGACCTGCTGGCCACACTTCTGATACAGCCAAGGCACACTGTCAGCTCGTGTCCAGCTTTTCATCTTCCCCCAAGTCCTTCTCAGGGCTGCTCTTGATCCATTCTCCACCCAGCCGGTACTTGTGTTTAGAGCCTAATCAGCTAATACATTTATTTACTTAGCACTGATCTTGACAGGGACTCAGAGCTGCTTTACTTAGAAGGTGCTAGAGACAGGAAATAAGGCAAGGCTCCGTCAGCTGGAACTGCTACAGTTCTCTTGTCGCAGCGCGAGAGGGTGGGGCAGACTGAGGTGCACGCACGGGCTAGCAGACCTGAGGTGCAGCGCACAGGGGCTGTGGGCAGAGTACAGCATCTCAGCAGCCTTGCTGTGGGCTCCCATGACAAGTCCCTAAGGAGCTGTTAAAGATGCAAATGTATAACTTTGAGAGGCGGGCTGCCAGAAGAGGAATTACCAAAGGAAGTATTTATGTACACCTGCATTTCTGAAAGTATGGATTATGCTAGCATAGGACACAGGACAAGGTGGAACTTTTTATTTTTATTTGTTTTGAATCATGGCAGCTATTATTTTATAAGAATAAAATGTGATATAACAACTGTTCCTTTGAGTGAGTCTCTCCTGGAGGATTAGCATGTGTAACTTACATTCTCCTATGCCATTGTTGGTGAATCTAACTCATTTTCTGTTTGGAAACAAAAGCCCTTGCTAAGTCAAATATGTGGAGAACTTTTCTGCCAAAGGGTTATCCCACCAACTAGCAGACCTGTACATCTTCGTACAGCCTGTGAGTCTTCAGCTGAATAGCTACTGACTAATCCAGGTGATAGGCCTATCAAAGCTTGCATTTATTAGTCATAAAACACGAGCAGTCTGGTATGTTTTGTGGAGTGCCTGCTCAGTCCTGCCACTCGTAGATATGTAATCTTGAACTGTGTGGTTAGGGTTTGGGTTTTTTCAGAGATATGCCATAAAACCCTTGTTTACAGCTGGATTTAACCACCCTAATGCACGCTGAATATTGTTTTCCGCAGACTTTCACAGTGATTGAAAGGTAAGATAGTACTGGGTGTGAATATAAATTGCGGATTATGACATAAAAAAGACCTATTTGAAAGGTAAAGGAGAGACTTTGTATTATGTTGCTGATACATTTAAAAAAAAAATAACTTGTTTACAGAAGTCAGGCATTCATCATTTTAGTAAGCTACAAATATTGAGCATGTTCAGTGTTTTTTTTTAAGTCACTTTCATAGTATTATTCCTATACATCTGATGATTGCATTTTGGTGATTTTTATTTGCTGGCATTTTTTTTCATTGACCAAATGTTTTGTTTTGAACTTCTAACGTCACTTGTTTTTCTTTATTTTAAGGTGTGACTGTACAGAAAAATTACAGAGTAAATTTGACTTCTTGCGGTCACAGCTGAATGACATTTCATCCTTTAAGAATATCTACAGATATGCCTTTGATTTTGCAAGGGTAAGGCTACTGGAATGTTGAAGTAGTTTGTATTTTAATTATTCAACAAGCTCGTACCTGAGTAATTTTTGTGCTTTCTTATTCAACCTTAGGATAAAGACCAGCGAAGTCTCGATATCGATACTGCAAAATCCATGTTAGCTCTTCTGCTTGGAAGAACTTGGCCACTATTTTCAGTATTTTATCAATACCTGGAGGTACATGTTTCCCTGACTTTCTGGGTAATGGCACAGTAGTTGGGCTCTTCTGTGAAAAGATTTCAGGGTTTGTGTTGCTTTGCTCAAGACTCTATCCCTGTTGCTGCTCTTCCCTTGCTCGATGTGCTCATGAAACAGGGATGTTTTTGTATGCATCACACATCCTTTCTCCCTCCCCGTGCCCCACCCTCTTCTGTTACCAAACGCAACTAAAATTCCATCTTAATTAGACTATAAAGGTAAATTTAAAATTAAGAGTCCCAGTAGTGTCTCCAGCTGCATCTGTGCTGAATTTCAAGTTTGCTTTGTGTCAATGCAGTGTGTAGGAACCTTGAGCTCAGTCTCTCCCTGGAGGATTTTGGTCAGCTCAGCTGCAAGCGACTTAGTCGTGTGGCCAAGCATGCTAGGCTTGAGACTGTTCCCTGTCTTCAAATCAGTGCTAACATTGCAAAGTAGATGACCTTATGATCATACTGTATTGTACCCTGGAGCAAAGAAGATTTTTGTAGTTGTTCATTCTGGAAATAATCTGAGCTAGGTATGCCCCATGTCAGGGCAAGATGAAAATTTACCTGCTTTTGAAGCTTAAGAGTGCTGACTTCCTGATTCCCTGGTATTTTGATTTTGCTCTCATCTTTCAAGAAACCATTTTCTATAGTTTCAGAACTGTGAAATATGTGTCTAGTACTTTAAAGAATGGAAAACCAAGGAAATAGTAGCTGTTGTTACCCATTAAATTGTTTGTGAGGAAATGATTGAAGATAAAATGAGGAAAATGATAAATGAAACGCAGCATTACCGAATGTGACTTGATGTTTTAATGTTTGGAAATTATTTTCCCTAGCAATCGAAGTATAGAGTTATGAACAAGGATCAGTGGTACAATGTGCTGGAGTTCAGCAGAACTGTCCATGCAGATCTTAGCAACTATGATGAAGATGGGGCATGTAAGTATTCATAACATTTTTCTGACTCAACTATTATTCTAGTATTTTCAATTTGCATAACACCAATTTCTGTAGCAGAAACAATACTGTAAGGTATTAAATATTTCTTCTCCAACAATGAATAGAAAAACTCTCCTGATTAACCATCCATCACAAACTGCAGATACTAATTGTAGTGGTATGTGGGGGGTACAATGGTGTACTTGAGCCAACTTACGTTTTGGTGGGGATCTAGTGAAGGTGCTTGCTACATGAAACCCTAGACTTGCAAATAATAGCATTGTAAATGGCAAACCTTTTTGTACTAATACATCGTGAACTCTAGTTTAACTGTAAAGTAGCCTAGCTGCTGGTACTTGAGGCTGAACTCTGCCTGGCTGATAATCCATCGCACTATGACTGAATTGTATTAGGCATCCCATTTTGGTCTGTGTTCTAATTATGTGCCATTTTGAAAGCTCTAGGAGGACAGCATTAGTTGTGCTGACTTACAATATAACCTTATTTTTATGCTTTCTGTTCAGTTAGGTGCACCTGTCAGAGGTCGGAACGCTTTTTTCCATGATTATGTGTAGTGTTATTTGTGCACTTGTTGCCACCCTTGTTGAAACAGCTGAAGTAATTTTTGAGTGTTTGGCCATAGGATTGTCGTGGATGTTAACCTAGACCAATACTTGTAACCTTCATACTTTAAGAGAAGCTTGAAAGACACTGGCGAATATAACTCCGTATTTCATCCATTTGCAGGGCCTGTACTTCTGGATGAATTTGTTGAATGGCAAAAAGTTCGTCAAGCGTCATAGCAAGAGTTCAAAGAAAATGCAAAAGTCTTTTTGGTGCCTGCCTGTACACAAACTGATGAGAAAAACCAAGGATTGCATTTTCATTCTTAAAGACTGTACTGTAATTTTTTTCCTTTTTTAAGGAAATTTTCTTGTTACATGTGATAGGGGCATTGAACCACACTTCTTCTGAGACTGAAAGTTGGAGTTCTTGTTTTGAGTCTTATGTTTATAGCATTTATTTCAGAACAATAAAGATTTGGATTTGTGACAAAGGCCTAAAAGTGAAGAATGTCCCTTGAATGTGAGTGTGGTGTCTATTTTTAAAACCAAATCTTTAAGATTATCTTTCTCAGAAGTGCCCTTTGCTGTCAATTTTTGAAGACCTTAAAAATGCTTAACTGGCACTATTGCTTACTGATGGTATGATTGTCTCGTGTGACAAACATTAGAAAGAGTGACTGATTTTTGGAGCCCTGGGTGGGAGCTTGCTAATTTGTGTATTAAGTATTGGGTTGTGCCACAGTTTTAAGCTCCTTGTGGAGATAAAGGCCTTAAACTCTTGTTTTTTCTTGGAATTTTTTTTTTGGTTCAGTACCCACCCAGTGGCATGGCGTTTAATGGCAGGCCCCTTCAGAGCAGAAAGGTGTAGAGCATATGGCTCTGTATAGAGCATGGCTGAAAACCAGTTGCCTGTACTTCAGATCGTGAACACAGATACTCTTTGGTACAGGAAGACAGTTTCAAATTTTTACTACAATTTAGACTTTGGATTGCTTTGTATAAAAAGTGCAATTTATATTTTAAAAGTGAAAGCTGGAAAGGCTTGGTTTCAAGCTTTGCTTCTCATGTGTTTTAGACTGGAAGCATTCACAACGTGACCTTTTTTTTCTTTAATCTCCCTGCATGCTTTTCATAATGTAAGTCAAGAAGAGACTGTTAAATAACCTACCTTTGACCTGAATATGACAGGCTATTAATTTTTACCCTGTTACCCCAATAACTACTGTGATCGCCCTTTTAGGCACTCGGTATTTGTGGCAACCTTTAAATACAGTAGGAGTTGGTCACTCTGCCTTCCTGCCCAGGAGGCCCGATGCCACCCTTGAGAAGGAAAAGGATTTTAATAACTGAATGTGAGAAACCAAAACAGAATGAGAGAATGAAGCATTTGTAACTTCTAGTTTGTTGTATAAATACATTATGTGGACTGTGATAATGCTGTGAGACTCAGTGATCAAGGCCTCACTGTGCCAAATATTTCAACAGCTTGAACTAACAATAGACAATGTAAGCTAGGCATGACTTGAAGATCTTTGCCTCAGGGAAATGACTTCTGTTTTGCACATCCCTTATTCAGACTAAAAAGCTTGAGTTTTCCTAACCTTAAGGAAAGCTTTATTCCCAAGGTGATTTTTTTTTTTTTCCCCCATTAGGAGGGGGAGGAGGGAAGGAAAAGGTGTGAGGAGAAATAATACTGGGACAAACTGGTAGTGTTTGCCTGTGCTCTTGTTCTACTGGAGAGGTCCGTGCTTGCAGCTTACTCTCCAGACCTGCTTGCTGTGGGCTGCAGGAAGCAATGCAGCGGTGTTCGGGGGGCTTTCTGCCAGTCACCTGATAGTGCAGGTGAACCTTAAAAGCCTGGTGGGGGGAACAAACAACACCTGAGATACTTGGAAGATCTCTGCTGTAGTGCAAACACACGCACTACAGCTGTTGTGAATATTTAACTGTTGTAACCTCAACTTTTCTTCAGTACGTTACAAGCCGTCCATTTGCATTGCTGACAATTCTGATTTCACTCATAACAGAGTGCCTTTCAGTTGGATATTGCCCTGTCCCACAGAAAGTTAGTGCCAGAATGAGATTAACTTCAAGAAGAACTGCTGGTAGAGCAAGGTTCTAAGATAAATGCACAGCAATTAACTGACGTCAAGGGAAGTACTGCTGTATACTAGATTTCTGCAGGGGCACTGATTCTGAAATTACTTACTTAAATTCACCAGGACTCCTCTTGCATAGTGTGTTTAGTCCCAATCATAACTGGGGAAAGTATCTTTCCAGAAGCTTTGAAATACTGGTTAGAAGATGGATATTATAGTGTGATCAAAAAAAAGAAAAAAAAATCATCATTTTTTAGGTAACTACACACTGTTGTGAATTCAATTTAAACCAATTGGTCCTAGAGGTTGGTATTAGAGTGTAAGAGTAGGAGTGATGCATCTACCAATCCAAGGTGGTCAAGTACTTACCGTTAATGTGTAAGACACTATGTGATGTATCATTTGTATCTCTGTTAAGGTTTTATCAGTATTCCTAAAATAAATCCATGTTTCAGGGATTTATATCTTGGTTGTGTGTGTGATTGAAAACCATCAGTTACTGTAAAACTTTGACTGGGAATGAATGTATTTAAACTACTTAAAATCAATATAGTTTTTCAAATTTGAATAAAATAGGATTTTAAGTTATGTTTTTGTGCTCAAAACTGCAATCAGATTTATTGTTTAAATGTGAACTAATGGCTTGTACAGTTTCATTGTGAGTTGAACACTTTTGTTAGCTGTCTTTTATTAAATCACCTTACGGCTTACTGTGGATAAGTGCCAAAAGCTGTTTATTTATTTTATTTTTTTTTAAGTTTTGTGCATGTCCGCAAGCCAATACTTGAGTTCAGCTAAATGCTTTCTTTAGGCTTTGAACTTTAATTTTGCTTTGCTTAGGTGCATTTCAGACTATTGAATTAAAAACAAGTGACACCTTATTTTTCAGTATCCTAAGATGAAAGATCACAGGTGAAATATGCTGCCACAGCTACAACAAATAATAAAATCGAAGGTGAAATGTCTTCCAAAACTAAATCATAGTGGTGTCTATCTTGATGATATAAACTTAACTTTCCTTTCACTTTCATTTCTTGATACTAATTCTTCCTAACATAACTAATCTTTGCTAGTTTTCTTAGTCAACTAACAGTTTTGGTTGTTCAATCTGAAAACGCCCACTTGTTCCTGAAAAAAGCCATACTAGTAGATTGGAGTGTAATGTTTCTCCTATGTAAAAATGTGATCTTGAATTCAAGTCATGTATGTTTACCTATGTCTAACTGTATATGTAGTTTTGATCCAATTTATATTTACTGTTAAACACCTAATTCTTTACTAATGGCTGTAATTTCACATTTCTATATAGCCAAATTTGAATTTTGCATTTGAGATTACTATGGATACAAGCTTGGTACCAATCACAGGTGGCCCAAAAGGGAGCACTGTGGTCTGTATTGCCATTGTTTAAGGTTTTTTTTGTATCTCTCAAAAGCTTTGAGCTGATATATTGATATTGACTGCACAAAAAGAAAAAAAGGGGGACCATAAGTTAAATGTTTCTGATGTTTTGTTCCTTTTTTTTAAGCTAGTGAACAGTTCTTTCAATGCGATATGTACAAACTTGTACAGGTTTAGCTTTGTTAAGTATGATGAATAAAATGGTATGTAATAGGGCAGAAAACCTATTTTTGTCATGCTGTCTCTCTTAGTTTTTCTTTTGTGTATTTATAACTGTTCTTAAAGTCACTGAGAGACTTAAGTCCAGCGAGATGGATCAGTGTAATTTCTGACTTAACCTTACTGAATAATTTCGTAGCCTTTGGGTGCACATACAGAAAATAGAACTTTGTGTCAGCTGGCAGCAACAGCAAATGCCATTCTGGATTATATCCCATTTTATTAGTTGCTGATAGAACAAAATCGTCCTGGCAGTTACCTGTCATGGATTGTTAACTGAGTGAACATCGCAGTGCGTGTGAAGAGAGAATGAGCTTTTCTCACTTCCTCCCTTCCCACTGCTGAGCCCCCAGCATATCTCTTGGGTCACTCCTCTGTTTTTAGGAAAGGACTTGGTGTTTTCTAGTGTACTTTTCCCTAGGGTCTTTCAGAGCCCATTACAGAACGGATCAAAGCCAGCATCCCTGTTAGTGACGCTGTTTTCCTTGCAGAGGAATATTCTGTCCCTATTTCAGACTTGCAGTCTGCATACATGCACACACACTTTTATATATAAAAAATGTTTCCCATCTGGTGTTCAACGTGCCGGAAACTGCCCAGAAAGAGTTTGAAGGTAAAAGGAGAATGAGAAAGGAGGTTTGGTTCTCCTCAGCTTTCCGATAGCACTGTACATGTCTGGGGATGTGGAGGTGGCTGGTCACCTTTCTGTCCTATGCAAATCTCCCTCGGTGGTGGCTTGACTGCATTTGAGTGGTTCTGTCCTAGGAGCCAGTTCAGAGTTTTGACAGTGAAACGGTGTTTCCTTCCTGATCTTCAGGAGGCTTATTCAACACCCATTGACTTTAATTACATGTTTTGGTGGGAGGATTTTTTGGTGGGTTTGGGTTTTTTTTCCCCCCCCTGGTATGGTGATTACTGGCTCACAGAATTAATACTCTGCTGTGGAAAAAGGTCCTCCCTCATAGAACTGGAGATGCCAAACCCAACAGTGTTACGGGAAGACAATAATTATTACTGACACTTGAATGAACCACCAGGATCTTTATGTGCCAAAGCCTACCCTTTGCCACTGTTTCCAACTTTATTTTGGGGTTTTTTAGTTGTTTATGATTTTAGGTCATGTATTAAATCACACAAGGATATCGCTGTGCCTGTGCTGTACATCTGAGTGTGTGCTGTACTGAAATCCATTACGATGTATAATTCTTAAATGCTTATGACTTTAACGATGTAGAGTGTTAAAGTTTGTGGAGCTTCTTCACACATTTTTGCAGCGTAGTGAGTATGATACTCAATGGAAAATCACAGTTTTCTGAAGTCATGAGGAGGCATCTTAAGCATGGGTTTGTAAGCAGTGACTAAGATTTAAAACACAGTTTAATTTGCTGTTTTATTTTTTTATGCTCTTTTTAATTTCTGAAAGGATCACCATTTATCAGGGAATGTGTTCATAGTCCTTGTTTGATCTCAACAAATACTATTTTTCTATTCATTTAAGAGTTGGGCAGGAGGCAGGTAGCATACTAGCACGTAAGGCTTCAGTTGCATTGTACTAGGTACCGTGTTGTTAATAACACTGATGTCTCAAGCTAATCCATTACTGCCCTACAAATAAATACTGCACTTATGCTTTGCTTAGTCCTTGTCTTTTAACTAGGGCATTCCTATTTTCCATTTAAGTACCTCATCTATAGTTTCTCAATGTTCCTTAAAAATGTAATCAGACCAATAAGTTGGTTTGCAGTATTAATGTTACCAGTGTAGGAGAGAAAATT